CTAATGCCCTACTGAGTCTCATAATTCATCCTAATGGTCTCAGGTTTTCGAATATTTATGTGTATTCGAAGTCCCTCAATCAACCCAAATATCAATTTTTACAAAGTTTACTGGAACCTCTTGATGACATGAAGTATTATCCATTCCCAGACAATGAGGAAGTTGTCTCGGTAGATAATGCAAAAGAGCATTCACTGTTCATATTCGACGATGTGGCATGCGAGAAAGAAAATAATATCGAGGCATATTTTTGTATGGGGAGACATAAAAATGTTGACAGTTTTTGTTTGTGTCAGTCATATGCTCGCATCCCAAAGCATTTGGTGCGTCACAATGTCAATTTTCTCGTATTATTTAAACAGGATGAAATGAATTTGAGACATATTTATAACGATCATGTGAACACAGATATGTCATTCGAGAAATTCAAAGAATTGTACTCAGCCTATTGGAAAGACAATTATACTTTTCTGGTTATTGATAAAGATAGTGACATTGATGGGGGTTGATATAGGAAAAATTTCGATTGTTTCATTCGAATAAATAACAGTTGTGGGAGCAAGACGTAAACACTTGTGAGATAGATTCCAGCGAGTCAACATGCCCCCCCACAAGGGTGAATTGTCCAAACAACAAGAGCTGTTACGTCAAATTTCCAATGCACGAAAAGCTATTCAACGAAAACATAACCTGTTGAAATTAGGCAGAGATAATGTTGATGAAGCAATGAATGAAGTTCTCAAACCCATTGTGAGACCGCTTCAGGAATTAGCCGCTCGAAATGCGAAATCATTCGATGACAGTAGACAAAAAATTGAATTGACTGATGATAGAAAGCAATCCATTGATTACAAGAATCAACGAAAACTCAGATATAGGAGTACCCCAAAGCAGATGTTGTCGCGTAGAGATGCCTCTGAAGACAGTTATGGGACTACAGCTGACGATTCTTCATTTGATTACACTTTGAATGAGACTATCATTCCATCCTTGGGAAATTTACATGATGCTACTATACTTCCAGCCATTGGCAGCTCACGCATTCTGAGTAAAAGTTCAAAGACCAGCACTGAAGAGATAGAGACAGAAGAAGATGCCAACACTCTTGCGGGGAAATATTTGGCACAAATCAACACAACAAAATGGGACAAGGCTTATGGTGTTCGCAAACTTACACATAATTTTATGATTGGAGACTCTCCCATATTTTTTGAGGATGAATTTATTAAAGTAAAAACCATGAAATACGCTTGTACTGAGGGATTATTGGAGCTTCTTTTCATGAAAAATCCTGATAACACTCTAATTAGTGAGAGTGATATTGATGCATATAAGAATATCATACTTGCAACTAATGGGCATCAAAAAAATTATAAATCTCGCGGAGGCATCCGAGAGCTGAATGGT